CATATTTTATTAGTTTTATTACTAATATAGAGACTGAATACAAAGTATATATGTTATTGGCTATTAGTCATTTTATAAACCTAGTAAGGAAAGTTTGAGGTCTGTGGTTATTGATACCATTAATATGATTCATATTGCTATAGTTGTAATATGTTTAGAAAAAAGTTTTCGCAAATATAGTTTAGTTAAGTACTTTTAATTTTTAAACTAAAAAATATAAATTATTGTAACTATGAATGATTAGTTAATTAATAATTAAAATAATTAATGAGTATTATTACTCAGTTAAAAGAGTTGATAGGTGTTTTGTAAAACAGTTATACAACTTTAATTACCATAACCATTATGATTATCTATCAAAAATAAATATGATTTTAACAATTTTGTCAGCCTATAATGGAACGAATTAGAAAATGGGGGGTTTTAAAAAGAAAACTATTTATATGCCATTTATTTGGACATCAGCTGGACAAGAAATAAAAAAATAAAGAAACCAGGACAAAATGTTCGAATAAAATATTAATAAACATAAACTAGAAGATTGGGACTTCAAATCTTCTAACAGCAAATACATGAAAAACACTGCAATTTATCAAACAAGAGGCAGAAAATGCAATACAAGTTTTAGGTGGGAATTAGATGGGGGTTAGTGAATGCACGATTAGATATATCAAGAGGCTAAGGGGATTTAATTCACATTTGTGTAAGGAGGTTACAACTTACTTTAATCGAAATTAGTCACAATTTTCTCCCTAAAAAAATAGAACAAAGCATATAAAGACAGCCCTATTTTCCTCCCCACAAAACAGAGCATTACTTTACAGGGTAGACACTTTGAACTTCAGTCAATGGCAGGCCTGTTAATTTCACTTATTGGTGTCATGGTTCCAGTTACGCATGAAAACACTTAAGTTGAAATACTTTTCAAGGAAAAGATGCGAAGAAAGTTCATGGCAAAATGGAGAGCAGCCCTATCAGTGGTGTCTTAAACCCAAGTCATGAAAGATTTGTTCTTGCAATTTCGATTTCAAGTAAGGTTTAAGATTATGGGGAAAATTGGTTCATTGGGTGATAGTAGGGAATTACTAGATAAATCTACGTTAAGACTTGGTTTTTGATTTGATTTTGAAATTACATTTCTTAGCATTCAATCATGTTGCACTTGGCTTTCTTTTTGCTTTTATTATTATTAATATATATTTTTTTTTTGTTATTTGATAACTTACATTTCCACTTTCATGTTTGCATCATGCATGTTGAAGGGCTGATTATGGCCAAATTCCTCCCACCAAATGATAACAAAAGTTTCTTTGCAAATAATGGCAAGGCAAAGGCTTTGTTTGAAGCACTAACAGAGTATTCACCACTAATTAAATTGGAAAATGGAGCATGGGCTATAAGATCTGTCTTTGTGGCCATTCCCTCTTTGTCTTCAAATGGGAATTATCTTCTTTTTTTTTTTTTTTTGTGTAGGAGGCTTGATGACGAGGCAATGGTGATGCGGAATCAACTCCGATAACTTTTGATGTTTATCAAAATTGCTGGCTCAATAGATCCCTACTGGAGAGATATGATCAGCTTCTCATCAATGGTGGCTGATGAGTTCAAAACAAGAAGAATGGTTCTGGATGTCTATGACAATCAAACCTATGTTAAGAAGTTCCTATTTCCAAGTAATATTTTTATGGAAGTCATCAACTACATGTGGGTCCAACAGGTCGACGAAGGCAGAGTAAAGTATCATTTTCAGTTTTAGCCTATTACATGTAGTACGTATTTTAGTAAGAAGGATGAAAATGATATGCACACTGAGTTGTTTGTTCATTCTGTTGTATTATGGAATGCAAGAGGATCATTGAGATCTCATTTCTAAGAAGCAGTTAACTTTCTCCACCGTCGAACTCTACCAGGTGCCATGATAATTTTCAACGTTGTTGTGTCTAAGAACTAAATACTTAGCGTTGGAAATGATCAAATCACGCATGATGAAGTTTTTATAGCTCCTACAATTAACAAGGTGGGAGGGATGATGTGTCAATGGTTCAAAAGTAGGGATAATGTTGCATGTGTGAAATCAAGTTCAAAAAAGGCATGATATATCTCCATTTCAATTACCCCAAGAATGTATGTGGGGTTGTCTATCTAAAGGCCATGCTAAGGAAGCTCCTCAAATTTGTGATTTTGTAACTAGTTGATATCAATACCTTTGCTTAGGGTAATGTAAGAGGGTTGCATGGGAATTGGGTGATATTTGTAACTCAGGTATGCTTTTGTGTTAATGCTATTGTGTTGATGCTTTTGTTATTTCTACCTTGTATGGACTACTCTTACTATGTTAAGGGAAAGTTTACTTGATATATTATCTATTTAGTACTTACGTATATTCCTCTGATCGATTAATAATGCAATTTGTTTTTAGGTCACTTTTCTGTTTTGTGTTCTAGCTATCAAACTTTACAGGCTTCTACTTTTGGAAAACAAAAAAAAAAAATTTCAATAGCTTCTACATAATTAACTAATGGGATACCATAATTACTCTTGAACAAAGTAACATAGATGAAAAAAAAAAAGGAACGAAGTAACTTGTTAACCTATAATTAAACCACAATTACGAAGAAGCTTTTTGTGCCACTGGTTATCAATGAAGGAGTGTCATGTCTTGTTAAGAAACAATTTCTAATCTCAAGGAAAAGGGAAAATTTTGGACTCTTTCAATTCAAATAAATATGAAGAAATTTCAGAATGACTATAAAATTACATGTTCTTGCATATTCCAAGCATTCATACTTGCACTAAGTACTAAGCTTTGGACATGGAAGTGGTATTTCTTTCTTTCAAATATAGTTACCCACTGCAATGTATTATTGTTAAGCTTATATGTCTAGTGCTATTGCAATTCTTTTTACTATAACATATGCTTTTTTATTTTTTCATGGTTGTTTCAGGATATCTAACAAAATGATTGCATCCTTTGCACAACTATTTTGCTAAGTGTAATCTACATTGAAGTTTTTCAATGACTTGGAGTAACCATTGTGGGATCACGAGTTGAGGAAGATTTTCTGATATGGCCCTAGATAGCATACCTAGAGGTGCTTTGATCTTGGAAGCTTATTTATGCAATCTTTATTTTTGGTTTTGTAGTAATGTCTCATTGTTGTCTCAGATGGTTATCTATCTAGTTGGACATTTCCTCTACCTAATATTAGAAGGCTAATTTTAAAATTGAACTTATTCAAATTTCACCTCTTCCATCTCTAGGAGCTCTTCAAAGTAACTTCAAGACACAACTTGTTTGCTATTGTCAATAGAAATAGTGTGGAGAACCCATAATCATTGGCATCAGAATTAACTAGTACTTCACTTTAGGACTTGAGATAGCAAAAATTTTGGATATTATTGGGATTGCTTTGGCCAACTTGATTGTAAGTCTTCAAATTTCAAAATATGACTAGAATTCCCTTGCAAATTTTATGATCTATAGCCTCATCTTTACAAACAAGTTTTTTAGCAACTATTTAGTCAAATAGCACAGTAAGTCTCCAAAAAAAAAAACATATTCTCAATTTAAGGTACAAATGACCTATAAGAAAATTTGCAATCTCTATTCTTTAAATGTCCAAATGAAGTATGCCAGCTTCCCATTCTTAAACATACATTTGTACTTGTGAGGATGACCATACCATTGGGAATAGTTTATTATAAAACAGGGGCAAATAAAGGATAGTAGATGTGGTAATGGTTTTTGTAAGGGACAAATATTGTAAATACAATGTAGGATCCCACAAAAATGATTTATAAAATACCCAAGGGCTGAAACAATAAGAAAATGCGAACACAACATTTCATCTCATTGATTAAGGATAACAAGGAAAGAACTAAAAGATACCAAAAAGTTATGTGCCATGATCATAAAAACATGCAATTATCTTCTAGTGATTTTACCTTGTATGGACTGCTCTTACTATGTTAAGGGAAAGTTTACTTGATATATTATTTGTTTATATACCTACATATATTCCTTTCTTTGATTCATAATGCTACCTCTACTCTATTTGGTTTTCTATTTTGTGTGCTGGCTATCAAACTTCACAAGCTTTTACTTTTGGAAAAAAAAAAAAAAAAGTCAACAACTTCTACATAATTAACCAACGGGAATGCCATAATTACTCTTGAACAAAGTAGCATAGAAGAATTTCACTATGAAAAATAAAGGAACAAAGTAACATATATTGATCGTCCTCAACCATACACATTGACTATTTAAAAAAAAGTTCTGATAAGTTTCATACAGAGAGACCATTTTAATTTTATCTCAGTTATTTTCTCTAACCAAATCTACCTCCAACATATATTAATCGTCCTAAACCATACACTTAGCATTTTGCAATAAAAGTTAACATCAAATAGGAATATTAGGAGGCCTGAGGTGAAGAAGTGCTTTCTTAATTCTCCCAACAACAGCTTGCAAGCGAGGGAGGGATGCTGCATATGAAATGTGAATGCAACTATCATCCCCAAATGCATCTCCAGGTACAAGAGCAACTTGTTAACCTACAATTAAACCACCATAACAAAGAAGCTTTTTGTGCCACTAGTTATCAATGAAGGAGTGTCATGTCTCGTTAACAAATAATTTCTAATCTCAAGAAAGGAAACAATTTCTCAAGGCAAAGGGAAAATTTTGGAGCCTTTCAATTTAAATAAATAAGAAGAAATTTCAGAATATGACTATAGAATTCGCTTGCAAATTTTATGACATTTAGCCTCATCTTTACAAACAAGTTTTTAGCTACTATTTAGTCAAATAGCAAAGTAAGTCTTCAAAAAACATGTTCTCAATTTAAGGTACAAATGACCTATTAGAAAATTTACAGTCTCTATTCTTTACATGTCCAAAAGAAGTATCCCAACTTCCCATTCTTAAACGTACATTTGTACTTACGAGGATGACCATACCATTGAGAATCCCAGAACCTTGAGGCGCAGACTACAGCGCAAAAGGGCTAAAGAGCGGAAAAGGCAACAGAAGCAGGTGGAGGCTGAGGGAAGTTCATCTTGCAGACCACGCCAACCTACCAAAAGGAACATGGTATGGGTGAGAAAAGAGAAAATGAGACTGTAACCTAGTCTTTAATGGAGAGGGATGACCAATCTCCAGTTTCTCCAAAGGTAGCATCTGTCATTGTGAGTCCAGACGGAGTTCTGAAAGCAACTTTTGAAGCACAAGAACAATCTGAAAATCTTGGAGGTGAATCAAAAGAAGATGGCACTATTTATTTTGGGGAATTCTCAGTGAATTTGTCATATCTGGTACTGACATTACCCTTAGTTTTCCAAGCTAAGAAGGAGGAGGAACCAATGTCTATGAGTTCCAAAAACAGACAGAAGAAGAGGCAATCATTGTTCCAACCCAAGATGATGAAGAGGAGGACATGGCTGACAAAATAGTGTTTGAAAAACCAGAAGAAAAGATGGCCAAACACATTAGGCCACTTTATATCAATGTTCAAATGGATGAGACTCCAATCAATCAAGTCTTGGTGGATAATGGAGCTGCAGTCAATGTCCTTCCAACTTGCATACTCTACAAAATAGGCAAGTCTCTTGGTGATTTAGTGCATATTGAGGTTTCAATTAGTGATTTTATAAGAGAGGCGAATAGTTCAAGGGGTGTGCTGCCTGTTGAATTAACAGTGGGAAATAGGACACTGATGTCTGCATATTTTGTGGTGGATACTGTTGCTACTTACAATGCACTTTTGGGGCGTGACTAGATTCATTCAAGTTGGTGTGTCCCTTCTACACTTCACCAGAAGCTGATTTTCTGGAATGGTGGCAAAGTTGAGGTGGTGTCTGCAAATGATAAGCCTTTTTCAGCCAATACCCACCTAGTAGAGGCTAGATATTATGAAGAAGACATTGGTACCATTCGGTTTTTTGGGATGAATAGCCATGGGAAACCGATTGGGATAACAGCATGCAATAGACTGTCATTGTCTAAGCGTGTCGTAGAGGAAGTCTGTGATGAATTTCTTCAGCCAACAACAATAATTCCTTATAGGCTGAAGGGAAAACTAAAAATTGAAAAAATCTAATGAAGCAAGCATGTCTAAGACAAGAAAGAGAAAAGGTTGTGTTGGAGATAACAAAGAAATTAACGGCCTATTTTGCTGAAAAGGCAGTTCAAGTGGACATGTTTGAAATTGTTCATGAAGGCGAAGAGGCAGACTAGGGTGATGAAATAACTTTGGAGGAGCTGGATCTTGCCCCAGCCAAGTTGGATGATTTAAAAGCTGAAGTTCAAGACCCACTGGAGGAGATCAATCTAAGGTCTGAAAGTGAGCCAAAGGTAACATTTATCAGTGACTCTCTTGAGCCGCAGACACGAGATCAAATTGTCAAACTTTTGCATGAATTTAAAGACTTTTGCTTGGGATTACTCAGAAATGCCAGGTCTAGATCGAAAATTGGTGGAACATAAACTGCTAATTGCAGAAGGATTCATACCGTATAAACAGCCGCCCAAACGCATGTCTGCAGAGGTCACCTTAAAGGTGAAAAAAGAATTGAGCGATTGGTAAAAGCAGGATTCATCTGGACATGCAGGTATGCAAAATGGTTGTCAAATGTAGTGCCTGTGCTGAAAAAGAATGGAAAATTAATAGTCTATTTTGATTTTCGAAACTTGAACTTAGCTACACCAAAGGATGAGTATCCCATGCCAATTGCAAACTTGCTGGTTGATGGAATAGCCAGTCACAAAATTTTATCTTTCATGGATGGCCATAGTGGGTACAACCAAATTTTTATTGCAGACACAAACATTCCAAAGACAGCCTCTCGATGCCCAGGTGCTGCTGGAACTTTTGAGTGGGTTGTGATGCCATTTGGTATGAAGAATATTGGAGCTACCTATCAAAGAGCCATGAATGCAATTTTTCATGATATGATTGGTAAGTTCATGGAAATTTACATTGATAATGTTGTGGTGAAATCACACGGGGAAGAAGACCACTTGGTCCATTTGAGGAAGGCTTTTGAGCAGATGAGGCAACATGGCTTGAAAATGAACCCACTAAAGTGTGCCTTTGGAGTGTCTGCAGGTAACTTCCTTGGGTACTTGGTGCATGAGCGTGGTCTGGAGGTTGACAAGAACAAAGCCAAGGCTGTGATTGAGGCAAAATCGCCACAGAACCAAAAGGAGTTACGGAGATTTCTTGACCAAGTTAATTTCTCAAGACATTTCATTTCTAATTTGGCTGGGAAAACCAAAGTCTTTTCTCCTCTGTTGAAACTCAAGTCTTAGGTGGATTTTAAGTGGGAAGAACACCATCAATCTGCCTTTGATATGATAAAGCGGCACTTATCCAAACCACCAATACTTGTACCGCTTGTGAAAAACAAACATTTAATTTTGTATATATCCGTCGCAAACGAGTCCATAGGATGTTTGCTGGCGTAGGAAAATGATAAAAAAATAGGAGTAGGCTGTGTATTACTTGGGTCGATATTTGACCCAAACCTAAGTGAAATATTCTTCGGTCGAAAAGTTGTGTCGTGCTCTCTTTTTTGTTGCAATAAAATTAAGACATTATTTGATTTATTCCGAGGTTTATGTGGTTGCCAAGACTAATATTGTCAAATATATGTTGTCTCGCCCTTTGTAAAGAGGCTAAATAGGTAAATGGATTCTGGCCTTGTCTGAATTTAATTTGAAGTATATACCACAGAAGGTTGTCAAGGGACAGGCACTGGCAAACTTTCTTGCAGATCACCCATGTTTGGAAGTGGAAGCAGATGAAGAAAAAGGGATAAACTTGTTTTCAATAAGTTTAGTTTCTTGGAAACTTGTTTTTGATGAATCTAGTACAGAAACCATATCTAGAGCTGGGGTCATGGTAATCTCCCCGTTTGGGCTAAAAACACAAATGTCTTTCCAACTGGAATTCGATTGCACAAATAATCAAGTAGAATATGAAGCTTTGATTATTGGTCTTGAGATGTTGGTGAAGCTTAAAGTATCCATGGTTAAGGTTATAGGGGACTCACAGCTAGTCTTGAAGCAATTTATCTGGTGAGTACAAATGTACTAGCCTTGCTTTAGCCCTTTATTTTGCCTTAGCTATGCAATTACTGGAAGAGTTTGATGATGTGTCCATCAGACACGTGCCTAGAGACCAGAACTATGAAGCTAATGAAATGGCCCAAATTGCTTCAAGTCTGCGAATTCCTGAAGGTGTAATGCAGAAAGTTGTAATAGTTGAAAAGCGCAATCTACCATCAATTCATCAACATGGCATGACAATTTCTACTTGTAGCATTGATGTCACCCAGATAGACTGGCGCTTTTCAATTATTCAGTACCTTAAGGATCAAAGCACTAAGGTATCTAAGAAAACCAAAATGCAAGCTCTCAATTATGTCTTGATTGAGGATGTGCTTTATAAAAGAGGCCATGATGAACTACTGCTGCGTTGTCTAGGTGCAGATGAAAGTTTCTAGATGTTATCTGATGTCCATGATGGGATTTGTGGTGCACACCAAGCTGCGATCAACATGCGCTGGTTGATTCGCAGACATGGTTTCTTCTGGCCGTCTGTCCTAAAAAACTGTATTACTTATGCTAAGGGCTGCAAATCTTGTCAAATCCATGAGCCACTTCAAAGAGTTCCAGCCTTTGAACTTAATTCTATTGTGAAACCGTGGCCATTTCGAGGCTGGGCTATTGACTTGATTGGTAAGGTGTACCCTCTTTCATCAAAAGGTCATTCATTTATTATAGTAGCAACGGATTATTTTACCAAATGGGTGGAGGCTAAACCAATGAAGAAGGTAGATCAATCTAATGTAATCAAATTCATCAAAGAGGACATTATTCACAGATTTGGTCTGCTAGAAACAATTACAACAAACCAAGGCACAGTTTTGTCAGCCATCAAGTGGAGGCATTTGCAAAGGAAATGGGTTTTCATCTGTTAAATTCCACTCCACATTATGCACAAGCTAATGGGCAAGATGAGGCTTCTAACAAGGTGGTGATTAATTTGCTTGAAAAAATGGTGGATGACAACCCTAGACGCTGGCATGAACTGTTGTCTAAAACATTGTGGGCTTATAGAACTTCACAAAGGAGTTCAACTAAAATGACACCTTTTATCTTGACATATGGCCACGATGTAATCTTGCCAATGGAGTTAACAGCCAGGTCTTTGAGAATAGCAATTCAGCATAACCTCCAGTTTGGGGAATACGATGAGGCCATGATGCTTGAGCTTGAGGACCTTGAAGACACACGCTTGATAGTTTTGGATAGGTTGCAAGCTCAAAAGCTCAAAATTGTAAAGTCTTACAACAAAAGAGTGAAAGGTAAAATCTGGCAGTTGGTGACTTAGTCTGGAAAGCAATTTTACCTCTTCGTAAGAAAGATCACAGATTTGGAAAGTGGTCCCCAAATTGGGAAAGACCATTCCGAATTCATGAAGTGTTGAAAGAGGGTGCTTATTGGTTAGAGTCACTCAATGGAGAGCTTCATCCCAAAAAAATCAATGGAATTTATCTCAAGCCTTATTACCCCACAATTTGGGAGGCAAGAGGAATGGAGTCCCAAGAAGCTCTCTGAGTCAGGTTCACACTTCTTTTTGTGCATAATTAAATTGGGTTTCTTTCATTTATTTCATTTTGAATGAGAGCAGAGCAAGTTTGATTAAGCGGCCATGGCTGGCATGGATGGCTGGGTGCACTCAGACAGAGTTAGCTGTGAAAAAGTTGGGAATACTTGCTGCAATCATCTTGGGATTTAGTAGATTTTGCACGTGGCCTTTGAAGTTTAGAGTCTGAAAGGTAATTTAAAATTTAAACACTTGGATTTATTCCCATAAAACCAAGTGTTGGGGGGCATTGTTTACACCTAAAAATAAACTAATAGGGAAAGGCTACGTGTCAAGGTGAAGCCCAATTATCAAGAAAAGTCAGCAGGCTAGATTTGGGCTAGGTTGGATTATAATTTAAAAGCCCATACGGATTTTTAAAGAAGCTAGATTTTAGGTGGCAGAAGATAACATAACTTTTGGTATTTGAGTTTGATTTAAGTTAGGAAGTTGAGAGTTTTTAGGAAGAGGTTATCTCTAGGGTTTTATTAGAGATAAGATTGAGTAAAAACTATTAACTGCCAGACAGCTGCCAAACATGGAACCCCCACTGCTCGATCATGGTGGGAGAGGGCCGAGAAACATGGAAGAGGTTTCCCAGCACCGAAGAAAGAAAAACAGGATGAAGAGATTAGTAACAGATGGCCTGCCCTACACACACACACTGCCCAAAGCATGTTTTTCAATTTGCAGACTACTTTTTCCAGATTTCAGCAATAGTTTCTAGATTAGTTTACCAGATCTATTCTTGTTCATAGCCTTAGGTTAGCTTTTTCCATCTTTGTTCATATCTTTTGTCAAAGACTTCAATTTAAGTTAGTTTTTAAGCATTTTGAAGCAATTCAACCTGCAAAACTGGTCTACCCTATTGATTTGGTTAGGTCCTCTTTTTTTTATGGATTCAGTTATGTTATTTGTTCATGTAAATAGGTTGAATGCTTTCTGCCTTTGTTCTTTTGTTTCTACACAACAACCAGACATGTAGTTTATTTAATTTCAATTTCCAGATTTAATTTTATAAGTTTCCAGACTTTAATCATTTCGTAGTTTCTTCTTCAGTTTTAGTTATCAAGTAGTTTAACTATTTTTATTTTAAATCTGCAAGTAATTAAGTTTAATTATTATGGATTGCATAGTAAAAATCATTGTCTGTGATTTTACATTTTCTACTGTCTGCGAATTTTATTTTTATGGCATGTTGTTTCCTTTTATTGATCTCATGTTAGATTAATTGCCTAAAGATTGTGTTAATTTAGAATTTGTAGCTTTTATTACGCTTTTGTGGTTGTAAAGTCCTTGGAGGTTTCTAACGAAATTAGTAACCTATTTTGCAGAACTCCATCTTCTGTTTTGCAACATCGTCTAGGGCGCAATTTATTTCACAAATGTTCTTTCCAACCATCCCATTGGAGGTCGATCGTTGAAAAGAAGAAGGGTTGTCTGAAAAATCTTGTTTTCTTGTTTTTAAACAAAATAAGTGGCACGCATAACAACCAAACTCACATGGTAAAGGCCGGTTGAGAATTTTTGGGGAAACATATACAATGGATGAATAATTAAAAGTCTATGAATAATGATAATATTAAAATAGAAAAATATTTATTCTCTAAAAATATGAAAAAACAATAATTAAATAAGATAAATTAATAAAAAAATCATCTATTATTCCTAGACATAAGTCATAAATATGAATTATTTTATTAATTATCAATTAACAACTATAATTATTAATTATTCTTAATAATTAAACTAAATAGAACTAATATTTTTAAGGATAATATTAAAAAATTTATGCAGCCATCCATTTCCAATTATCCATCTATTATTCATTGTATTAGCTTTAAAAATGGATAATGTGTCCCATGAAAAAATCAATAATGTTATAGTTTAAAAGTTATATATGATTATAAATTTATAATTGTAACATATTATTAAAGGAGTGGAAGTTAAGGATCTAAGTTATTTATTGACAAATTTTTTAATAAAAATAAAATATTTTAAGTTTAAATCGTATAATGTACATATAAGTTAAAAGATGAATAATAGTTATTTTCATATAACCAAAGTCTAAATAAATATATATATATGATATAATATGAATTTTATGTAAAAAAATTAAGTATATAATGATTTATAATTTTATAATTTTATATTACATTATTTTACAGCTATATGATTTAAAAAAAAAAAAAAAAAAAAAAAAAAAAATCGTTTAAAATCCTGTGAAGCACAGGAGATTGGGATGGGAGTACTTGGTAACATGCATGTATCCTAAAAATCAGGCGCAACGACCACGTTTACCAAATTCGCAACACGTGTCCTGTCTTTCTGCCGCTGCATTTTCCTCGATTCCTCCTCCTTCTCCTCTCCCCGCACGGCTACCCAAGCTTTAGTCAAATTCAAATCTCCCCCTCAATCGGTTTCTTCAATTTTCATTTTCATTTTCTTTCAATTCCCTGAATTGTAACCCTAATTACAACTATAATCCCTTTTATATCTTTTCCTCTAACTGTTTCCTTTGCTGTTCTTCATTCTCCATATTTTTGTCCCAACAATTTTCCATTCCGTCTTTCCGATCGAACATTCATTCGATTCTTTCTGTTTTCTTGACGGATTTCTTCTGTTCTGGGTTCTAGGTGATATATGAATGCTTTTTGTGCGTAGAGATGGATGTCTTTTGTATCAAGTTGGTCGATCAGAGGGAGATTGTTGAGAAAGAGGGTTAGAGGTAAAATTCTGAATCACATAATGTTTGATTTCCATTGTTTCTTGAATAATCAAGGTATGTTGGATTCAATTCTTTGTGGGTTTTTTGAAATTTCTAATTTTTCATCGAGTTAACCCAACGTTTCTGCTTTCTTTGATTTTGTGTAAACATTCTTTGAAGAATTCATATTGAAAGGTGGAATTTTTGACATTTAACTCGGTCGATTTCATTTTGCTTTGTTGCATGGTATATTTGAATAATTGCGACTTCTTGATTTTTAGTCTTTGTTTTTACAGAAATTAAGGAAAATTTTGAAGAATCAAATAGGAATTCCAAATATGATGTTTCATCTTTCGAGTTGAATAATCAATAAAAATATGTAAAAAAATTTTAGAGAGAGAGAGAAAAAAAAAGAAGGAATTTGGGCTGATCTATCTTCGCCTGTGTCTTGCCTCTCTGATATTTGTCGCCTTTTTCTTCATTTTCTTATTAAAAATATGTTATTCTTTATAATTATAGGATCTAGCCTGTACTGCCAACCTGCTAAAGTTCTATTGACCGGGGTAGGATGTCCACCATCCATTTGAAACGAAGCAAAACTGAGAAGTCTTTCTCAAATGAAGAACAGCAAGCCAAGGTATACTAAATCATAACGTTTGTACCGCAGTTAATAGGATTTCCTAATAATATAACAATGCAAGCGGTATTAAAGGAGAGCAATGATGTTTTTTCTTACCATGTGGTGCGTACTCTAGTTGTTGCTTACCAAATATAAATCCTTGATTCTTGGGTCAAGATCAGGGATTCAAACCTATGGTAGCTAGGTGTGCTCGCTTCACTCGATACTTAAAATCTCAATGAATTCTTTCCCCAATGAAAATATATGGTGTGATCACTTGGAGGATATAGAAGTGAACTTTGACAGGGAAACCACTTATATACTTGTAAATATATACATAAAATGAGGAAAGAAAAGCTTTCAATCTTCTAGTTAATGCAATGGGGAAAATAAAAATAATGCAGTAGCAAATTGTTGCACTAATAAATAAATAGTAATTTGAGTTTGAGCAATGATAATAAATAGTGATAATAGAAATTTGAACAAGTTTCCACTGGTAAAATATTTGAAAGATTCTAAATTTTATAGTTTCTTCTGTTTATAGAACTTTCTATTCATAAAATTAATTCTTTTTTAACCAAGTTGTTTCAAATAAACTCAAGTGTACGATGTGACAGACCTAATGCATTGTGATGGCAGGAAAGAAGATTACCTAACATTACATCATGGAATTGCATGTGGTGCAGGAATGAGAACATGTAGAATTAAAAATGGAAATGGAATTTTCATCTTCTTTTATCCAGACTTTACATGCAAAATGTTAATGTGTAATGTGTTATCAGTGAGTCTCCGTGGATATTGTAGGATTTACATTTAGAGGAAACTGTGAGGAGGTAAACTAATTATTTTTCCAACTCACTTCAGATTGATGCTGTTAGAAAATTGATTGGGCCTGTAGCAGATAAGCTTCCAGTTCTTTGTTCTGATGCATCAATATCAAGGTACCTCAGAGCAAGGAACTGGAATATAAAGAAGGCAAGCAAGATGCTGAAAGAAACCTTGAAGTGGCGGCTGCAATACAAACCAGAGAAGATACGATGGGTGTGCATTCAGTGCTTTACACTCTGTTTCTGGTAGTTTAGTTTATTTTCTTGAGTATTAGAAAAACCACTCACCTAATATGCAGAAAGAGGCTAATTATTAAGTTATTATTTGTGATTGTGATCACTTTAAAGAAGCGATTAAGTTGGTTGACATTGATTCCTTGACTGAATCATGCTTTACAGCCGCAACAAGGAATATTCAACTAGTTTTTGATCTACACCCTTCTCACTCCTTATTAATATGATGTTTGTTTGTTGCTATCTTAGTGATAAAATAAACTACTATTGGTTTGAGCAATGGCCTTAAAGCTGCCTCAAAATCATGTCACTTATTGCAGTAAAATGCGTATTTATGTATTTCAATGCTAATATTTTTGTGAGTTATGGAGAGATTATTATTTTCTTGCTAAGATCATCTTTTGTAATGCTCTTAGGAAGATGTTGCACATGAAGCTGAGACTGGAAAAATATATAGGGCTAATTACCATGACAAGGTTGGAAGGACAGTTCTTGTTATGCGACCTGGATTCCAGGTGAATTTATATTAGGTGGATGAATTTGCAGTACTTCTACTCTTGGTATTGATTATGGTAACATGCTGATGATTTGTACAAGTTTACCATTTCAGAATACAAACTCATCTGAAGGGCAGATAAGATACTTAGTTTATTGCATGGAAAATGCAATAATGAATATGAAGGAAGGCCAGGAGCAGATGGTTTGGCTAATTGATTTCCAAGGGTGGAACATGTCATCCATATCAGTGAAGGTGACTAGGGAAACAGCTCATGTGTTACAAAATCACTACCCTGAAAGACTTGGCTTGGGAATTCTCTATAATCCCCCAAAAGTATTTGAGTCTTTCTGGACGGTATGTTTAATAATCTTGAATTCTTTATATAATCTTCTCATCCAAAGTTGAATTTTATGTTACCTAGTAAAGTAGTGATAGTGTAGGTGGACAGATATTTATAATTTAGTAAATCCAATATTCATATGTAGTCGGCTACCAAGTAGAGAAAAAGATAAAGTTCACTTCTTGTTGTGAATTTTTTTATATATACAAAAAATTGTTTTGCAATCCAAACTGCTAAAGACTGCAGAACATTAACCATTGGATGATGAGGGGCAATGCTAGGTTTCTTCTTTCTATGTAACTTCATTATCTTTGAACTTTAATCTGTTTGGTTTAAATTTATGTGTCCATCAAATTTGAAGACCTGCCATTTATTGCAGATGGTGAGACCATTCATTGAGCCCAAGACATATAAGAAAGTAAGGTTTGTCTACTCAGATGACCCTCCGAGCCAGAAGACAATTGAAGAACTTTTTGATTTGGATACACTGGAAACTGCATTTGGTGGGAAAAACGCTAGTGGATTTAACTATGATGCATATGCGCAACAGATGAGGGAGGATGATGCTCGAAAGTCAGAACTACTCAACACTGGATGTACTACATCAAGTTATCCTTCATCAATTACATCTGAATCACATCTTTCAGACGGTGATTCCGAAGCCTCTGATCAAAGTGAATTATCATCTGGCGACGAAGCAGCTTCTTCTAATTTTCAGGGCATTAATGAGAAGATACAGCAAACTTTGTCACTTGGTTGATGATATTGCAAAGGGTGGAGCTAAAGAGGCAAACAAGTCCACAGCTTACATGAGAAGATGCAAACAATCGTGGTTTTAATCATCCTTTCTAGTTTTTAGCATGCAAGATTTATAAGCTTATGCAGATTTTTAGCATGCAAGATTTATAAGTTCATATAGATTGTTAGCTGCATTGGTGCAGCCAACTAATTGAATGCGACTTACATGTCAATGGGCTGTTGTCATTTGTAATGATTCTTCCCTAATTTCCAATAATAATTTGTGAAACGTGAGATTACTCTGTTCTTCCATCCATGAATTCTAGAAGAGGAAATCAATGGTGGGTGGACTAACCTTTGGAAGAAAACACGTTGCATGCTTTTATTGGATTATTATTGGAATTGAAAGCTGTGCATGCTGGTCTGAATTTTGATTTCATCAATGAGATGGTGAGTTTAGAATTAAGTACAATTTAAAGGGTGCATATTTCAATTAACAATATATCATGGCATTCGACCAAGGGTTATGGTCTAGTCTTGGCAAGGTTTGTTCCTTGTTTTGTTGATCAGATTCGATTTTTTCAATGAGTTCAATGAAGATGAAGTTTAATTTGTTAAGAGGTTAATGAATTAAATTTTTTTTATAAATTTTTTAATCTTAACATAAATAATTTCTGTCACATAAATGAAGGTAAAATTTTCAATGCAGGATTTTGAACCAAATCAATAAAGAATTTAATCTAATTCTTATTTCAAAAGTCTAATACAAGACTTTTAACTCATATTTAGATCATTCTTCATTTCTCATTAGACTCTCTGGATCAGCATTCTCTCACTAATTTTTTTTTTACTATTTTTGTTTATTTAATCCAAAGGGGACAGCAGTCCTGGCAGCCAACTTGTAAAGAAAGCAAGAAAGGAATAAAATTTATGTTGCCCATCTGGAGTAATCATCATTGGCACAAGTCCATACTACAACATAGAATTAGAAATTCATTGCCCATTATTTTACTAAACCCAACACTTCTGTTTTAAAAAACACTGGCAGCGGTACGATTCACACAGCAAATTCTTCTCGGTAGTCCCAATCCTCAACATGCAATTAAGAGTTAGGTTTAGAGATCACAGGTGAAGTTTAATGACAGCATGTAGGTTTTAGTGAGATTTGAATTAGCATTGAAAACCTAATGTAAAACTTGGCTCTGGATACAATTCTATATGGAATTGAGAAAAATCAAGATATTTGATCAATTACAAAGTTATGAATAATAATGAAAAGATTAAAGTATTTTTAACAAATTAATATACTAACAAAATTTATTAAAAATACTTAAATAATTTTACAAAAATAGAGTGCCTGAATATCTTAATTTTCACTTTTCTTATCCTATGTTGCAGCTAAATAATTTTGGATGATCATTTGGTAACATCATTTCTGAAGAAAGTATATTAACAATTTCTTTTGGTAAGGATAGAGGAATACTGGAAATGTATATGTAAAAAATTGAAACTTCTTAAATCAGGCTCATAAAGTCTGTGATCACAAATTTTTTTTTTTT